AATCATTACTGTATGCAGCGGGGAATAGGGTACGCGGCCGCCCCCACAACGCCCCCACAAATACACACAAAAAAAAACAAAGAAAATAAAAATAAATTATCAATTATTCATTGCATTTGGCCCTGATCCCTACAGAAAAAAAAAATCATGTTTGTGGTCATACCTTGAATCATAATGCATTGCCCTATGGAGGATTTTCTACTTTGGGGACCGGGGAAAAATGCACTGGATTATTGATAATTTATTGCATTTTCTTTGTTTGTTTTGGTATTTTTTGGGGCGGCCATTCCTTTAATAGGGGTAACAGAATATTCCACCTCAAAGATCAACAGTGTATTAATATTGTAATTATCATAGTCTTCGCTATAATTATTATATCTCAAAGACTAGGGACTATACTCTGAATAACAAACAATCCATCGTTTTGTATAACACCTTAACAATATGAACAAGTCCATAGTAATTACCTTTTCTACACCCTTAATATCAACCGCCAAGTAAAACCGCAGGTCAGCTGAACAAACAGATGCTCCGAATGAGTAAGGAAAGCAGTTCATTGTTTTTCCTATCAAACATTTGAAGATAGGAAACCAGAGGCAGAACTCGTCGATGTGTAATTTGAGCTCCTTTTCCTGTACAGTGCAGGCAGGAATGTTGGCCAAATTTCCTGCAGTTACCTCCTGTGTCTTGAGTTTGCCTCCTTTAAGTTAAAACAAAAGTAACATAACAATGATAATGGTAGTGATCATACAAGATGACCTGCAATACCAAATTCATACATTTTTAAGATAAGTGTGACGGTGTTGAAGTTCTGGGTATCGAAATTGTATGCAAAACACTCCCAAAACATATTTGTAATAGTTACTTACCGTCAGCCCACATCCAATATTTTACTATTTATATCATTCCTTGATAACATTGTGAATGATCCCCATAACAAAAGTTCAAACTCATCATATATCATTGGTGACTTTAAACTTTTAATATTCTAGAACCTAAATATAAACAAATTGTACGATTTATATTTTCCTTCACTAATTGCACGAAATGGGAAAAAGGGCCCCAAAGCCATGGGTCACCTTGCAAATGTTGAAGTTAATAAGAAAAAAGATACACACTATATATATTACATTTTACAAAATCCTAGTGAAAGTAGAAAAATAACAAATAAAAGGTGTCGCAACGATGTTAATTATATTTTACGACATTCTAAGAGAAAGTACTATTATGATAGATTTGAATCAGTCAAAATTAATTTGAAGAAAACCAAGTCAATTGTCAATGAGGTCTTCGGAAGAAAAAAAATCCTGTCGTAAATAAACCCAATACGTTTATGTATAAATGGAGTGCCTTGAGTAAACCTCGAGAAATTGCTGAAAAAATAAATGAGTCCTTGTATTGATGTTAGTTCTGACATTCTGAAGACCATTCGGTGTGTGATAATGATTTTTCTTGTTATATGCCCAGACGCTTAGAACACACACTATTTTTTAAACAAGTTATTGTGCTGGAGCTATTGAATATTGGTAAGAATCTAAAAGAAGGCACACGCTGTGGAATAGATGGTAATATTCCAAATGTCGTGAAATACACGTTGCCATTCATTGTTGAACCTTTCCTTTATATTTGTAATTTATCGTTAAAACAGGCTATGTACCCAGTAAATGTAAAAAATCGAATGTAATACCTGTGTTTAGAAAAGATGACCCATTAAACTTTACTGACTATCGATCCATATATGTCTTGCCATGCCTGGTTCTCCAGGATAATTGAAAGATTAGTTTATCAATAGATTATATATATTTTAGCAAAATATAATGTTTTATTTAATGGTCAATATGGTTTATGTACCAACCACTCTACTGATATGGTTTTAGTTGAGATCCAGTTTAAAATACTACTAAATTGTTAATAATAATAAGCATGTTATTGGTGTTTTTAGGGACCTTTCTAAAACCTTTGATTCACTTTCTTCATCTTTTTATTTAGAAAGTTGCAATGTTATGATATCAGAGACACAACTTTTAAATGGTTTAAATCTTACCTATTGAAGGCTCCTCCGCACCGCTAAAGGTCAGATCACATCCATATAACACATTACCCTATGAAGAAATCTCAACTCCTTATCAAACAACACTTCTGAACTCGATCCGTATGGCGGACTTTTTATTTGAGTATAACAAAACGGTGTGTGTGCTCTTGAATACATCAGTACCAGATTAGACTACAGTTCACTTTAAAAATATATTTTGACATATGGGACCGCGTGTGAATTCGAATAACTCCACTGACGGTGAGGAAAAGCCTCACGTAGACGGAGGAGAAGAAGAGTGACCGCCTGGGACTTTGTTATGCTCAAGCTGTTCATGTACCACCTAAGAATTGCTGCTTACTTTAAGGTTCTTGAATCAGCTAATCACCGAGAAATTGACTCATTATTTTAGAAAACCGCACTCTGAAATAGTACTACGCAGATATGCGGTATAAAATTTTGATCCAAACATGTCAGATAATATTTGGCTATAACTTATAAATATTAGGGCGTTTGAAAAACGATTTTAAATAGATCCCTGAGGTACTCCTGTTTTTACGGTTTAAAAATACGATGTACATTCGTTAAAAAAAACAGTACAATGTTGTCCATGGTGTGGTTCGCTAAAGCAGATCATCTACTTTTTCCCAATTCCTCACAAAAAGTTTATTTGACGATGTAATAACACGAACTTGACTCTACTTTTCAAAAAGTGCAAACCATATTGAAATATTTTCTCTAATATTCAATTCGCAGTATTTAAACAACCATTGACAACACAATTATGTATTGTCTTTGAATGTATTTTCAATCTATGATTCTGCAACATTGACAACAAAGTGTGTATTGTTGAAATATTTCAATTATATAATAATCAATATGCATATTTAAAAAAACACATTTGAGTATTCTATAACATTTCTTTCCTTGTTCTGTCTCTTCCATACAATAGTATGGTAGTCATTGACTGGAAGGACCCTAGAATGAACATACCTTGGAAATGGTAAAGTACTACTGTAACATCCGGAGTGTCGACAACGCTGGCACAATGAGGCAATTTTATTTGAACAGGATGCTTAAACTTTAAGCCATCAGGTTTGAGTTCAACACCAAAACTTGCCATCATCTCTTCGCCTTGGATGCCCGGATCTGGAAAAGTTTCGAGTAGTCTCATAGATATCTCTTGGTCTTTGTCAAGTGCACCTGCTGGTATAGTCAAGTGGACGCCATACCGGCTGAGATTTAACTCATCCCCTTCCGGACCAATAACTCGTTGCACTGTTCGCTTTATTCTTTTTGATTCAACATCCAATTCTACAATAAAATTCAATATTTGTACAAGGATGAATAAAATGATCGCATTATTCTACATGCGGTTATTGTATGTCATTGTAGTTGCGAATGGCAAAAGGAACCCAATATTATTAACCTTACTAGGTCAATTTTTGCCGAGCTGCCTAAGTAACTATCGCTCAAGCATATCAGGTACCCATTTTAACATATGTGGAGAGTGGACAAATATTGATTTAGGTATATCCAAAGGACGTTAGCGCCGGGCTGGGATTTGAACCCCGTACCTTGTGATATACAGTCCAACGACTTATCCGCCAGACCCAACACGTGTACTTTTCACTGACTCATTGTGACAAGTTTCGTTCAGCTGGCAATGAAATGTGCACATCAATATATAGTTTCAACTCGTATCAATTGAATTCAATTATCATTTTGTTCTTTACGATATACAGATTATGCACACCCAAGACTCAAAACACACCAAAAAGCATTATGTAATTTTTAGAAAAACACATCCTTTCCATTAAGGCATCCCTTTGGTAGTATCGAACACGAAATTTATGAGCCCATAATATATTAGACAACAATTATTGATTTGCAAAATTTTGGGAAAATTAGTGTATTCTATACATAAATCATGTATTGTCGAGCATCCCCAGAATTGTTTTCCTTTGTAACATAAAATGGTGATGACGTTTAAAACGGAATGACTGATTACACAATTACTTATGAAGAAATTTTGATAAAAATATATTACCATCCAATAAATCATTGCGCTTCTCTTCCGGTATTCTTTTTTTTTAAAGAGAGAGGGAAAGAAACAAAAACAATTGATTAATATTTCAATTGAATGTAATTAAATACGCATGTATATGTCTTGGATATTACGACCATGTTATTCAAACTTAATTAAAGACGGTAAATACCATATAGTATGAGTCAACTTACACAAATGCCTTCACGTTATTTTGTTTTTCTTCAATTGGAACACTCATAGTTGTTTATGTATGATTATTTTTTCACAAACGCTTTAAATTGTTCCAACAACCGACACATATTTGCTCTTGATGTAAGGGGTTCTGTGTGGCTATACTGTTTCGAAATGAACATCAAATATTACTTCTACAAAGATATAATGCTGTTTAAATACATCCTCAATGAGCAATACAATGTCGTGTTGAGTAGAGGCTAGTGCTCACGTACGCACTCATTGATGAATAGGGCACGTATATGAGGACTTTACGTATGACTTTGGTTCTCTGCGAGCCCTATTCGCGGGATGTTATTTTACACTTTATTGTCTTCATACTCCTTCACCGTTTACCTCTGTTTTGCCTTCTAATCTTATTTCGTTTGTTGTTGGGGGGGGGGGGGGGGGTCTCATTTGTGTTCCTTCATTATTGTTTTTAAATTATTGTTATTATTATTATTATTATTATTATTATTATTATTAATAATATTATTATTATTATTATTATTATTATTATTATTATTATTATTATTATTATTATTATTATTATTATTATCATTATTATTAATATTATTATTATTATTATTATTATTATTATTATTGTTAATCGTGTTATTATGATTATTATATATATATATATATATATATATATTTAAACATTCTAGCTATACAATTTGTTCAATTAATTGGTATACCTTTCATTAATTACCTTGATACAACAAGCTGCCAGAGTCTTCGTGTGTTTGTACAATGTATCGGTGTGTCGCCACTCGCGTCAAACGTTGTACATATGGCTCCCTTGTCGGTGAGCGGCTCGTACTGAGGATATCTTGATACAACCTAACGTACACAGACATGAGATGATTGTCATTTTAAATAGGTGCATGATGGTTTTACATACAATACGCACAGATATTTCTTTTTCTTCACGTACGTACCCGTAATGTATCATATTAAAACTGTTTTTGTTTCATTGTTAGTATTAATTGTGTATATTTTGATATTTGTTTATAATTATCCTCGGTAGACTTTTGGTTCAAAGATTGAAAGAGAATTAATAAAAATTAGTTTAATTAGTAAAATATGTTGAAACTGTCACAAAGAGTTCATTTGATTTATTTCCGTTTCTATTATGAGCCTGGCTTACTTAAAAAGAGGGGAATGAAGAAAAACAAGTATATCATACAGCATTATCAAATTAAATCCTTTGATATGACACTTTCGGTTAATACATTCTTTTTTTAATACTGTTTAATTGGAACAATATCTTACCGGCTCAAAACCATTGGTGGTCTGGACCTTTTTGTCAGGATGTTCAGGACTACCCCACAGTGTTACAAGAAGATGCAGACAGGTTTTTCCGTCATTGTTTTGGATGTTCAGGTCTGCTCCAGCTTCGATCAAGGCCTCGATGACGGGAGAAAATCCACCTTCAACGGCCAGATGCAGTGGTGTTTTTCCCTGACTGTCTTGTTCGTCTACGAGAAAACAGCTCTGCAGTCGGTTCAGTTACATGAATTAAAAGAATAAACGAAAAATGTAAACGATGTAGATGTGGCAGAACCCATGACATTACAGTTCAGAATGATAACCTTTAACGTCCAAAGACTAGAAGACAGTATAATATATACACTACCTTCATTTGTGTAGACCTAAACAGTGGAGTATCTATGGATTAATGGCGACCGGTAAAACACTGCAACTGCGTCCCTACCCCACCCTGTTTTTTTTTAGGCAACTACGCTCGAAACGGATTTACTTCACCTTGGCATATTTATGTTTCAACTGGATACAACAGATTTTCCATAAATATTATAGAGATCTCGACTGCTACGAGAAAACTGGCTGTTTTTCTACGCTCAAGGAAAATTTGCCTCCGCTGCTATCACCCCGGGTGCATGGGTGGCGCACCGAGGGGTGATAGCAGCGGAGGCAATTTTCCCAAGAGCCAGTATACAAACAGCCAGTCCTCGAGTATTAAAGCAGTCGATATTCCTTTCATATGCCGAATTTAAACAAAAATCTACCTAGAATCCTTACCTTATAATTTTATCGAGTCAAGATTGGTTAAAACATCACGGAAAATCTGATAAACTGTTTGATTATCACCGCCCTAAAAATGACTAAAATTTTCGATCAGTTGGGAATCGCAAACAAAAAGCACTGTATGAAGCGCAAAAAAACTAACACGTAAACCAATGGGTATCGCAGCAAGATTTTATTATTTTCCCGGTAACTGGAATTTCCCCGGGATTTTACTTTTGGACTATTAAATGGTTTTGGCATCGTTCGTTTCTTTACGAGAATGGCTAAAATCACGACTGCAATTCCGGCCAATCAGATGGCTGGATTCCTTAACTGAGGTATATAATTAGTATTGTATCCCGCATACTAATAATCTAGCAATCTGATTGGTCTAAACGAAGTCACATGATCAATGATAGATTTACCATCACTTCATGACCGTGAGCTAGGAGTTTGCAAAACGATTCCCTGAGCTAGTACTTTCTTACAGTATTTGACTTGCTGCTGCCCTACTTGCCAATTTAATAAGCATAGAAAAATAGGTTACGCGAAATGTTAGTGTGTTTGTAAGGCACATGATCAATGATAGATTTACCATCGCTTCATGGTCGTGAACCAGGGGTTTGCAAAAGGGCTCACTGCGACATGTGGTAGCACGATAGCTCAGTCGGTAGAGCAGTAGTCTTGTACTCCGGTGACCCGGGTTCAAAACCAAGTCGATGTGATAGTGCCCTTTGGTAAGACATTAATCCTCATTACCAGGTCTCTCAGAGAGGACCTAAAGCTGTCGGCCCTCTGGTTGCTTATTAACAAGCATTTATGCTTTCTTAGCAGTGAGGTATTAACCAACACCACCACTTTTTCGTTATCGTTATAACAAAGCCTTTTTAAGCTATATCATATAATGAAACATGAAATTACAAGATTCTGTAGCAACTTATGCAAATGAACTAGGCGACCAAAACATGTTATGTAATTTATTAATGAAATTAATGTGCAAATAATTCTAATCATGATGACCATTGACACATTTTTCCTTCTCTTAACCATTTGTGTGTATTTGTTTGTTTTTTCGTTGTTGTTGCTGTTATTGTTGTTGTTGTTGTTGTTATTGTTGTTGTTGTTGTTGTGTTTTTTTTTTGGGGGGGGGGGTGGGGGGGGGGCTGCGATCCTCTGTTTTGCGTTTTATTGCACCTCTTCCAAGTGACGCCCAGGATGTCTGTCCTTGTGCCCCACTAGTAACAACACATTGGACGGTTAGTTTTAATACATGATACACCCATGATTGAAAACATTATTCATCTTATTTCGATTATTTATTTAAAGTTACATTTCGTCCTGTCGAAATGGTATTAGACAATACAATTGTTTGTGCAATACTTTCTACATCAAAAAATACCATCTGGATCGGATTAAACTAAATGAAAAGTTTATATTTACATCTTCTCCATCTTCTTGTCTCGTATCTTGAGCAAGCAAAAGTTCAACGCAGTCAATGTTGCCCACTTTAGCAGCGGAGTGGAGTGGTATCTGCCCTACGTTGTTCTTTGATGAGATGAGTTTTGACATTCCCTCAAGATCAAGTACGAACTTCAACGTTTCTAATCCGCCTCTGTAGAGAAAGGGAAATTATGTGGACTTAAACAACTCGAGGAAGTAATAGCAGTCGATGGACTAATACTTTAGCATCTAGGACTTAAGCAAGTGATACCTAATTTAAGCAACAACTGCTAACGGAACAAAGACTTAAAGGTAAAGATCAGTATTGGAAACGTTCCAATTTCAAAAAAATGGAAGCTTTTTATTACCAATCATGCAAAAGAATATGTTTTGACTAATACATGATGATAACCGCCTACTAATTGATATATTTGGTAAATTAGTTTATTTATAGGACTGTGAGAGATAAACGCACGAGTCGCGCATGTGTGCGTAGTCCCATATACATCTTTCTGTGTAAAGTGCTTGTAACTTTACGAAGACTGGGCCAAGTTTCATATCATTTTGATGATTCCAGAACCTTGCAGTACACACCAATACTTGTATGCTAGATGAACACGATCAACCTTTTCTGATTGATTCCACAACGTTTCTTTCACAATGCAATCACATGACCATAACTGTTTTTTATATTAATGCAATTCTACTTGACGGCAACTAGGACTTGTCAACTACTAGACTTGAGGATTTACGACTGGCACTGCCAGGGTAGTCAACACGGAATCGGGCATATACTTCTTGAGGAACTAAGATTAAACAACTGCTGCGTGAGCAACTGTGATTTCTACAATCAGGATAGAGAAAATTATACGTGAGACAACTACTACTACAGCAATTTACACGTTATCAACTAAGATTTGAGCAAGTACTACTTTTTTTATTAGAAAAAATGCTAGTGATGCACTATAATTGACCGATTATTACTTTATCTCATCATCAAACTTGACCTACTTCTATGTTGGTAACGAAGACTTCAGGAACTACTACTTCATTAGCTGGGACTCGAGCAAGTACTTAAAACAAAACTAAGACTTGAATAACCAAAATTTGAGCAATTATGGAAGTCAACTAGGCATTGAGCAACTACTTAGAAACGAGTACTTGAGCAACTACTACTACTTGAGTAACTAGGATTGAGTAACTACTATACTTTAGAAATAAGAACTTGAACAACTACTACTGCAGCAGTTACTCATTACTCAATTGTTTTGAAAATGGCGAATTTGGAGGGCAATTTTCTCAAATTTGGTCAGATTTAGGGTATATAATTTGTATTTGACTGGAGAGGGCATATCTTCAAGTATTTAAATCCAAAACGGGTACGGATTTAGCCAGAAACGATGGAGATACGGCCACAGAAAGAAAGCCAATTCCTATAACTTTAGAGGGCGCCATTTATTTTTGGAAGATTCATTGGAGCGTGAAATTCAGCGTTGCTTTGTGAAATTATGATATAAAGATACTGCAAGAAATTGAGATGAAATGGAAATGGTATGAGAAACTACTGACTAAAACTTCATTGACTACTACTTTATTAACTAATTCTTGCTTATCTACTAATTGATCAAATACTACTGCCTAAACTAGGATTTGAAGAAGAATAAAGACTTGAAAACTAGACATGCAATCTTGTCACAACGATGTGCGTGCAAAGACGCACGTGTTTTTATGGTCAAAATGAAAGAGATTCTCTCGTACTATCCGGAGCAATTTGAAAAAAAGTATGTGGCTTCTGCGATAGTAAAGATAGGTAGCGCGGAAGAAAAGGCCAGCAAAACGTCCCGAAACGGACAAAATAGCCCCTGGACGGTCACGCATGAGGGATTCCGGAGAACGAAGAATACAGCGACCCTGAAGGGATGGTAAAGACTACGCTTACGAACTTTGAAGGTAATGTGAATAGGGGAAGGGACCTACAAAGGGCTAGCAAACACTGCCTGCAAAACCAAAAGGATTTGGTGCATGATGAACATGTGGTGACGCGTACTGTGGCAAAAACGTCCGCCAAATACTAACAATATCATGCAGAGTATAAAAAGGCTTAATTTGCTCCCTTGACGATTAGAAAAAAATGTCTGAAAAATGACACCATGGCTGATACGTGTTATAATTGGGCGGAATCTCAGAATTTGTAAAGTGACCCTTTTCAAGTCCGATTTACTCAAACATTTCTGCGTGAATATATACAGTATCTGATATCATTCGAAATGGCAATTCATTGCAGTCAGTTTGACACCAGTGTCGTCTGCATGCAATGTCTTGTACGCATTAAACTGGCTTATGCGCAATGCATAATAAAATCATAATTTTTGGCGATAAATTGCCGCTAACATAATATAATTTTACAAAAATGTGCAGGAAGTTGTCACATAGTTTGGTACATGTGTATGCCAAGTTTTATGGAGCAAATTGAAAGCTTTTCGCAATTTTCTTGCAAATGGCGAATTTGTAGGGCAAATTTTTCAAAGTTGGTCAACGTAAGGCTATATCATTTTGTATTTGGCTGGAAAGGGCATATCTTCAAGTATCTAAATCCAAAAAAGGGTACGAAAAACCGGGGTTTAGCCAGAAACGATCGAGATACGGCCACAGAAAGAAAGGCAATTCATAGAACTTTAGAGGGCGCCATTTATTCTTGGAAGTTTTATTTGAGCGTAAATCTCAGCATGGCTTTGAGCAACTATGATACCAAGATATTGAGACGAAAAAAAAAATTGTATGATAAAGTTATGGCAATTTTAGATTTGTAGGGGTCCATTTAAAATAAAAAAGAAGATTGTTCACGGAGTAGGTTTCGGATTTAAATTTGCAGTGCAAAGATAGGAGCTAGGATAGTGGAGATAGGAAGGAAGAAAGAAAGACCTTAAATAGAACCAGAACAAACAAAATGGCGCCTGAACAGTTATGCATGAGTGATTTCGAAAATCGAAAATCGAAGAATGTAGTGACCTAGATGAGAGTCTAGATACTATGCCTATCCAATCTGAAAGGAAACGGACATGAAAAAAGCCATACCTGGTGATAACAAGCACGACGTGCAAAACGATTGCGAGTTCCTGACGATAAGGGAAACGCGAAGAAGAAGAAGATAAATTTAATTGGGCAGAATGTGAACGAAAACAAGACAATCATAATATTCGTCATTGCAAATAGTACATTTGAAACTATCGATAACGACATAAAGAACTACAACTCGGACAAACAACCCCTACTTAAGACACCAAAACTTGAGCAATTAATACATAAAGAACTAGGCCTTGAAGAAATACTACTCCAGCAGTTAAGCCTTTTTTTTACAAACTTAGAAACTAAGAATTCAGAACAGAAACCTGAGCAGTTAAGTCAATCAACCATGCATTGAGCAACTGATTTACTTTACAAACAAGTACTTTATCAACTACCGAGGAATTAGGACTTACACATGACTACTTAAGGAACTAAGACTTGATAAACTACTACCTTAATAAGCAACTAGGACTTGGAAGCTACTTGTTTTGAAACTATTAATACAGCCCCGAAGAACTACGATTGTGAAAACTACGGATGTCAACTTCGCATTAAGTCAATAATTCTTTAGAAATAACAACTTGAGCATCTACTACTTAAGCAACTGGGACTTAAGCATCAACTACTTCAGAAGCTAGGATTAATACAAATATTAATCGGGAAGCTAGGACTTCAGCAATTGCGGGAGTTAATGGGCAAACATACTATGCATTCAAAAGTTTGTTGCTTGTATTGTAGCCGAACAAATTGATATAAAGATGAATTTTCATTTTGAGTATAAAGGGCAAAATATGGCAGATTCATCCTGTCCTTACCCTAATGATGCAACGTGGACGAGGGAATCCCCGTCATTGTCCCTCTTTGTGGGATCTGCTCCATACGATATCAGCTCTTCAACACATGATTGGTGGCCGTACTCGGCTGCTAAGAGTAGCGGGGTTGAATTATTGGTCGACTGGTGAGAGAATAGAGGCACGAAATGCAATGTAAATGTCACAATAACAAATTGCCGCGTTCGAAGGTGCATGCTAAAAGAAACTTGTCTGCCATACGGCAATCTAACGACAAAGAGAAAATGGCACGGTAGCTAGAGGTTCTTTCTAGATTAGTTCTACAACGATGGAAATAGAATACATGGCCCTTTAAAGAGAGATGGTTACCAGTACAGTTTCGACTGTATTGCAATCGTACTCGAATAATACAAACATGAATAACATAAACTCACAGTAATTGAAAGCACTCGATTCGAATTTGTCATTTACGGTTTGAGCTGAGGCATTCTCATTAGAGCTAAAGTTGAAATTGAGACTTAGCTTGATAGGATTTTGTTTGGATTGATTACAAAATAGCAAAGTTGTTATTACGATATTCTTATGTTTGGTGTAGCGTCTTTGTGAAGTGATTATTTGATGAATACGTTGGGTACGTCAACATTTTTTTTGAATTAATACAAACAGTTGGAACTATAGCATTAAACTTTTCTTCTTCATCATTTTGGCCTCATTTAATGCCAACGCGTGGACTTGATATCGCATTATTAATATATATGTACTGTCTTTTTTGGCTACCTAATCCAATAAATTAAAGTAATAATAATGTCAATACCTTAACACGTGTATACTCTTCAAACATATAATAATAATAATAATAATAATAATAATTATATTTCAAAGTCCACTCCAAATGTTATTAAGTTAAACCTTAAATGGAAATTATTTTTGCCCAATTGATCGTGAGTCCAGCAGCCACTGAGCAGCCCCAGATCGACGTTGCTCTATCCCTTATTGTTGAACGCCGAACAAGGTAGCAGCAACTCCCGTCTTTTAACGTATTTTGGTATGACGCGGCCGGGGTTCGAACCCACGAACTCCCGGTTGGGTGGCGGGCGCTCTACTGACTGGGCCAACACACCAGTATGGTCAGGTTTAAGTAATAAAGCATTGTGATGTTGTCACTTTAATTGATTGAGGCTGAATTTTTCAATGTCTTTGCGATTAAGTTAATTAGACCTAATCACATTTGTCGCATTCATGTAAATAAGACTCAGACGAATACATTTATACTGACATATAATTTGAGCCTCGTTCAGATATGACGCAGCTAAAACCTGGCAATTTAAATGTCAATGGTGACGTGAACTGCAATAAGCTTCACATTTCTGTATCTTATAGCAGCTGAATGAATACGCCCAGGACCTTTGTTTCGCACTGTTTCTTTTCATTAAGACGTACAAATAAAAACGCAGCGGTTTATCACATCATATCTGATCAAGCCTTTGAAAAGTCTTACTTTGACATCAACATCAGCTCCTGCATTTATCAGAAGTTTGATCGCGTTGAGATCTCCTTTAACGCAAGCGTCATGAAGTGCTCCTTTGCCTCCGTTGTTTAAAGTATCAGGTTGAGCATCAGGTTGAGTACCAGTGGTCAAGGGAACTTCCATAACTTCTTCGTTTTGCCTTGTAAAGAGAAAGATTAGTCATAGAGATGTGCAAAATAACTTGGAAGCTTTATTATTTTATATAATAATAGTCTACCAAGGCAGTTACAGCAAATTAAAAAAAAATGTGTGAATAATTAGTTATCTTAAAAAGGTGCAAAGCAGAGCATAAAAGCGTGTCTACTAAATTGTATGGCCATTAGAAGCTTAAATTGCATTGTATTATCACCGCAAACAATTGAATGTTTGTTAATAGTTTTGAATTGGTTATTAACCCTTTGAGAGCGAGCCCGCGCACGGCGATTGTTTCCCCTGTGACGGAGCGATTTCGGTTACATCGCCAGTAATGGAAAATTTGGCGGTGCTTTCCACTTTAGCCTACCATTGCGCCTCATTCAGTCATTTTCGGGATTGTTAGTAAATGTAAAAATGAAAGATTAGACTTTTTTCTTTCTAAAAATATAATTTTTGTTCTTCAATACGAAAAATAAGGTCTGTTATTTTTGAGGGAAATTGCCGTCTTCTTTTGCTGAAGCTTCACGTCTTTCCTTTTCAATACACTCACAATACAAAATGCGCAAGCACCTCCGCACGCGCAGATCGGTCGATACCTCCATTCATTCCCCTATTGTCAATGACAATGATTGTCTTCTGCTAAAGCTCGGCCAATTATCCTACATCCTCTTCTTTCAAAACAGTAATCTTCCAGAGTAGATACTTCTTTACATTCGTTTGTTCCTCTAAGGGTAGGGTCCTGAGATAGGCTGAGATAAGCGTTTCATAAAAGAGGACGTCCATACATGAATGATTCGCTAAATTGGTCATGTTGATGAAATAAAAAGGCACTGGTAATCATAGGGGAGAAGAATTACCAACTCCTTTTATCAAAGCATACTTTTATACTTACACAGTTTAGAGTAAGGTCGGTTATTTGTAGCCAAGTGAAACACGGCGAATTGCAAATTTAATTTAAAAGGAATAGGTCTTTATAAATGAGACTACTATAGGCCTAATAATGTTGTTATATGAATAACTACGATATATCTATCGAAATGTGGGGAAAAAACGCCCTCTCATATTGACCAGCGAAAATCGTCCAATCACCGATGGAAAATCGCCATGTAATCATCTTCACCAACAAAACCAATAATCCAAAGCCTTGAAACAAGGCAAGAATGTAGAACGAACGCGCACGTACGCGTCCGTCTCCAGCTGCATGTACAGTTATTTCGATCCGAACATTAACATAGGGTAAAGTTGAAATGATATCACCTTTTTCTCGATTTTTTTTCCACGTAACTTTATTATTTTTGCAAAATATTTAGTTTATAATTTTTATCTCCTTCCATCGAATCCGGGCTACCTCGGCCCACGGGACTACTCGGCCCAGCTGGAAAAACACAGTTTTCCAGCTGGGTCGAGTAGTCCTGTGGGCCGAGGTAGCCCGTCTCCCTTCCAACATGGTGCGGAAGTCTGAATTTAACATAGTCTATTAAATATATTTCATTTGATTTTTAACATATTACTTAGCACCAAATAAACTTTGGAAGAAATCTTTTAACATAATTTTCAGATTTAACACTGATCATAAATCAAATGAATTTGCCTAGATAGATCTAAGAGGGTGTGTTTTCGTTTTTATCGTCAACCTTGATAGTTCATTTTAGGTGTATGAAGCTAGGTAAAACTAAAACTCATAACATGCATGGTACGTTTAATGTCCATGGACAATCGGCCTTTTGCATTGTATATGCACCAATATAAGTACCCTCTTGAGATGCATTTGCCCTATTAAACACACTCACACCTGTGTATTATTTGTAAATTAATCTGTTGAAGACTGTTTGAATCTGTTATAAAGATATCATGCATTTCCCATAGACTCCAGCCCGAGATGTAATTCATTTAATAATATAACGTAATGTGAAACTTCAAAATAAAAATTTGATTTACCGGTATATGATTTCTTATAAATTATGTTACACATTGCAGGTACGAAACAGGAACTGGCAGAAGGAGGAGATAATACTCCTCAGTGGATTTGTTAAGACGAACCGGCCGAAGCTGTATGGCAAGGCACATCATTGTTCGTCCAGAGTATGTACTCTTCTGAATTTGTTTTATTTTTCTTATCAGTAGTGCTCCATTTTTTATGCATGCTCCCATCCTCTCATGTGCAGTAAGTACATTTAGCTGTGTCATCCAATTCTCTTAAACTTGATTTCCTTAAAATATGTGATGAATGGATTTATCAAATTTGCTATGAATTTTATTAAATTTATAAAAATGAAAATGAGGAGAAGGAAAAAATACCGACAGATGTACAAGTACAGGAATTTTCATGTTTGATTTTAGGTCGAGAAGAGGAAAGAAAAGGCCTGGGTGAAGGCCTCGGCACTATTGAATAGCAACGGCTTTGCACGGTCCCCGAAACAGACCAAAAAAAAGTGGAGTGACATCAGAATCTGTGCCAACAGATATGAGGGCCAGAAAAAATTGACAGGTATGTTTTATTTGAACTTGTTTGAATGAATATTGCGGACATTCTGTTCAAGCTGACATTCTTGATTACGCGTTATTTCCTCTTAAATTTGTTGTTGTTGAAAGAAACCCTAGTTTTTGGTTTGTCCGTCCATTCATCTGTAATTGTGTCTTGTTACAATAACTGTAGAATCACTGGTGGTAAAGAGTTGAAACACAAGACCATAACAAAATCAAATATTTCTTTATTTGCTTTAGAGGGGGGAGGGGGTCAGGGCAAATTTCAAGGTTAAAAGGTCAACTACATGTGCAAAAGCTTGTTTCTTTTATGACCATGTTAGGGGAGCCTTCCAAAGTTGCGACTGTGCCCGGACGCGTCGGGGCGCGATGAATAGAACAGTCGCGTCTCAAGAGACGCATTGAGGCGCAAAGGGGCGCAAGGGGGCGCAATAGTCACCCTCATCTGATTCTTGCATATGAAAAGAAACTGTCTATTGTTGGTATAAACCCGCTCTATTCTTCTTACGCCCTTTTGCGCCCTACCAGGCGATGGAAGATTATCTTTCGCGTCATTGTTCTCGCTCGGGATGGCGGTACAGCTTAAACTTGATATAATTTTATAGAAAGTATTTGTCGGCCAAAGCCTGTCTTCCCCTCCTCCGGTTCTCGTTCTGATAAACATTCCATTGTTTGTAAAAACTTTATGTATTCTTCTCGCGTCGCGATCTATTCTTCTCGCGCCGTTTTGCGTCGTAACGGGCGGGGTATTATCTTTCCAATCATTGTGGAAGCTTTGCGATGTACATTGCTACAGCACAGCATGAACTTGTCTGGTGGGAGCGTCTTTGTTTCGGGGGGCAATCAACACACATTTTATTTTTGTTGGGTTTAATACGCCTCCTCTTAATTTTTGTGACGACTGTATGAAATGTGAAATAAAGATGACTATGTACGATTAATGGTTGTTTAATTGCGAGCTTGATTGTCCCCAACAACAAAAAAATAAAAGGCGAATGATGTGAATGAATACATGTATGCGGTTATAATCGGCAAATTGATTACTGTTTAGGACGCTTGTTATGTTTGTAATTTGAATGATTATCAACATATTTGTATAATTCCCACATCGCGATATTATTCTAGCGTCCTAATAATGGACAAAGGAATTATCTTTCTCTCCCGTCATTCATATTCATGCTACGCGTTGCCACAGCCTGAGCTTGGAAGAATATATATTTTGTCAGTAAAATCCTCTTTTTTTCTTCTTCTCCTCCCTTGACTTGGTTCTAATAAATTGCTTATTAGGGATAAGGAGGATAACATCAAACAAAAGATCTACTCAAGATGACGCTCTTTTCATTTCACCTCGCTGTTTGATAAAGTAGAGTTCTGTATGGAGCGAATACAAAAGAAAAGTTCGCTCTAAAGGAAAAAAACATAAAATGCTGTGGCAGGATAACACGCCCGAGATTTGCCTTCGAAAATTGCCCGTCCATAATGCGTTTTAAATCATAATAATTCCATAGCTCTTTTTAAAAGTGGAATGAATAGAAAAAAGAGTCTAGGAACTATATCGAGATTATAAAACATGTGTGTCATGAAGATGTAAAAAAAGCGTAGCTTGATGGCGATAAAGTTGAGCAGCAAATGGAAATGCCATACAAAACATTAATCAGTTCATGGTGATAATTTATCATTCGACTTCTACTTTGCGCTATATGTACTAAATGATCGCAAAACGGGCAGGGACACAAATACAAACATCGATTTCTGCTCTAACATTCGAATCATTTATTCGTAGATTTGTATAATTAAGTGGCGAAAGTGAAATTTTGAAATCATACTGCACAGATACAAAAACATACCTAACATGTTTTGATTCTTAATCCAAAAAAAAAAAAAAAAAAAAAAAAAAAAACGCAAATTTTAAAATATCTTTTTAAAAGGAGGGAGGCGCTTTAGCCCAGTGGTAGAGCAGAGCAGCTCGTAACCGGGAGCTCCCTGGTTAGAAACCAAGTCGATATGCTAGTGCCCTTTGGTAAGGCATAACTCAACATTACATTTCGTTCGGAGAGGTCTTAAAGCCGCCGGTCCCCTGTTTGCCTAATTCAGAGCATATGCTTCATATAGCAGTCAGGTAAAAAAAAAAAAAAAAAAAAGCAAACGGTACAGGAAGCTACCTTTTATGGATAGGCCTAAATTGAGGTTTGACTTAACTAGGGAGAAGAAGGATAACATCAAACAAAAGATCTACTTATGATGACGCTCTTTTCATTTCACCTCGCTTTAAGATAAAGTAGAGTTCTATGGAACGAATACAAAAGAAAAGTTCGCTCTTAAGGAAAAAACGAATGCCGTGGCAGGATTTCACGCGGCCGAGCAAGGCTATTGTTTGATCGCTATAATTGTCCGACTTGCTATAGATTCTTGTTTAGGTACACTATTAAGGCTGCGTATTATGTGTGTGTGTGTGTGTGTGTGTGTGAGGGAGGGGGGGCGACGAAGTGAACGGCCGGACGTAAATGGCAGAGGCCCATCAGGAGGGCTCCGCTCGCTAGTTATAAGGACCGCTATTCATTGGACAACTATTCATGAAGACCGCTATTTGTAATTTTAGAACATGGTCATTATGCATAAGGGTCATGAATTCGTAATACGATACCCCCCTCCCCAAAACTAAATAAATAAATAGAAAACTAATGATGCCATAAAAAATAATGCCCGGTAATTGGTGATAGCCGCCTATGAGCGGAACAATGGGCGCACCAACTATTAGCTGCTCAAAGAGCTGTCTTTTGTCATTGTGTTGCAATAACAATGTCCTTGTAAAAGTTACATGTACTATAATATCCGTATGCTATATAACACCCAATGTGAACATGACGTGTTCAGGCCTTATAACTATATACAGTGCACCAATGCAGTGCACGTTAAAACAAAAGACTTTACTAGCGCTAGCTAACAAATATGAAACGTCAAAACCTCAGGAGCAATTGATGACAACAAATTGTTACGTCAAATGCCACCACCAATACGGTTTCTTCGCGAAGAAATATTCAATCGAATTTCATGTTTGGAACAGATATAGGCGATTTCGAATTGTTCGAGGTGAAAATAACGAATATTGTGTCCGATAAACACTCCTTCTTTCGTCAAGGTCCCATACGATTCAAACATAATTTACAATGTTGATTTGCAAATAATAATCTCTCTGGGAGTATATCGATTTCCCCGATAATGCAGATATTCCTTTTTTTTCCGTAAAATTAGTTTTATAATTTTGCAGGGAGACAGTGTTCCTTATGATTCGAGCAGAATTTTGGTGAGTGCATTTCGAAAAAGAGCGTCTTCCATCTACCGAAACGTTTTGATGATGCAGGCTCCCGACAATACGATTATCATTTCTGTAATATCTTTAATTTGCAGATGTTTGTTCGTTTCGTATGACATATTTATAAACGCCCTATAATCTTATTTCAAGCAGAATCTTACAATGTCTTTGATTATAAGTATCATTTTTAAATCACGGTGTTGAAATACAATAGCTGATTTTGCGAAGATTTAGAGAACCTACGTTTCTATTCTTTAAATCGATCTTGCATGAGAAAGAACAGATTGATGATATAGATATATGACCTATTTTGATCGGATGACAGAACAAAATAATGCAATATGAAACAATAATTTGTCAAAACATACAGAAGGAATACAATTATACATATCGTTTCTGTTTTGTTCGTGAACAAATTAATATAATTGAAGTATTGAACACATTGATGAACAGAAATGAACAATCATTCCAACGTCAATGCCTAAAACACTTCGATGTTGGGAGGGAAATTAACAATCAGAATAAGAATCTAAATCAATGTCATCTACGTAAAATAATAATGAAACAAATTAGTAGCCAAAGTGAAAATTTTAGAGTCAAATCTTTCAAGACGAGAGCGGACACACACGCGGGGATTACATGAATAACTAATGCGTTGGAACGGGCGCGAAAGCTTTTCAAAGTTTAAGCTCCCATTCACAAATTCACAATTCACAAAGAGCGCTTCACCGTTAAGCGCACCGCCCCCCCTACTGAGTGTTATGTAGTGTACGCATATGCATGTTCCCTCCTTTTGAAAACAGCCCCCTAAGTCCGGTGTGTAAAGTCAATACGGGCCGGACTTTTGTGTACTAGACGAGCCGGACTTTGGTGCGTGAAAAGTACCCCTTTATAACAATAAGTCTCCAAACAATAGCCAGATTTAAAATTCATATTGTGAGCATGTGCTTAAATAGTTATATCGGGATTTCCCGGTTATATTGAAGACGTGGGCTAATATCGTGTACGTGTGTGCCCAGAATTTCTCCCTGATTGTTCGACCAACATTAAATTGCTATTGTCCAGCTGACTTTTCTATAGGCTTTTCTACCCTCGGCGCTGAAGGGCAGTGGCGGATCCAGGGGGGGGGGTATTTTTACCTTTTCTGGGGTCCCCCCCCCCTGGCGCTCAAGGGGGGGGGGGGGGGGCTGCAAATTTTAAAATTTTCGAGGGCCAACAAAAAAAATGTGCTCACTACCCCCCCCCCCCCCCCCCCCCCCCCACCACTGAGCGACTTTTCGGCCGGCGCGATTTTCAAATTTTCGGGAGCAAAAAAAAAAAAAAATTTTGCTCACTACCCCCCCCCCCCCCCCCCCCCCCCCCCCAAACTAAGTGACTTTTCGGCCGGCGCGATTTTCACATTTTCAAGAGCAAAACAAAAAAAATTGGGCGCCCTCCCCTAAGAAATCCTGGATCTGCGCCTGCTAAAGGGATTGCGGAAAATTTAAACATTTATTTGTGTTTCGTGATGACCCAGTAGAAGAAGAATAAGGGCTAGCCCCCCCCCCCCCCCACCCCTGAAGAAAAAATGGCCCAAAACCGACAATGCAATCATTACAAATTCCGTCTACTACTTGATACCATCACGCGCATGATGGATCATTATTTAGACAGCTAGTGAGACAGTTCTGTTACGAGAAGCAATTGAACGAATTGCCATGGCTTGTATTATTTGTTTTAGAACGCACTACGCTCTTTCGATACCACGTGGCCCCAATTAAGCACAATATATACGTATTTCAGTTCTTCTCAACAATGACCTAGATCCAAAACTGGCCGCGGCTGTAACCCCCCCCCCCCCCCCTTCTTCGTAAAGAAATATCCGTTAAAATTCTTTGGAACAGAATGATAAACTAATTTCTTCTTGAGATATGTTCGAGGTGAAATTTCAAACATTATTTCCTGGTAACGCTCTTCTTTTTTGATGCATGTTCTATTCTTACGATTTAGGCATAATTTACTATGTTGATTTGCAATTGATAATCTCCCTGGGAGTTTTGCGATATCCCCGATGATACGGGTACAGTGTATTTAATTTTGTTCGTAACATTAGTGTTTTGCAAAGAAAGAACATTCTGAAAATGAGCGTCTCCCTTCTAACGAAACATATTGATGATGTTCCCGACAATACGGATATCATAAAGTATGCATAAACAAAAATCGTAATACAGATAAAACGCTTTTTAAATCAAATTCAAGGAGAAACTACGATATTCTTGATTAAGTATCATTTTCAACATCAAGGATTTAAAAATACGTTATCTAATTTTAAGAAGATTCAAAGGATCTATGGATTGAAATAACAGACCGATGATATAATTATATGATTTATAATGATCATACGACAGAACTGTTTACAAGATGCAACGAAAATTAAAGAAAACAAAACATGCGATAACATCGCTAGAGGAAATATACACAATTTTAATGTAATATGAAACACATAAAGTGTCAAAACATGCACGAGGAAAACAATGTCAGAGAGAGTGGGGTAAGTATAAAATAAAGTTGTTTTTGTCGTGAACAAATCAATTTGTATTAAAATTAATATACTGAACACAATCATGAACAGAACAGGAGGAGATGAAATAATGAACAATCATGCCAACGTTAACGCCTACAGAACTCCGATGTTGAGAGGAAAATAAACAATCAGAACAAACATTGTAACCAATGTCCCCGGCCCCCCACTCAGTGTTATTTAGGGTACGCATATGCGTGTTCCAACCGACCCCCCCTTTTCAGCAAAAGTCAGGTGTGTAAAGTCAATACGGCTCGACCTTTTTCTTTTGTATACGAGCCTTTTTCCGCACCCCCCCTTTTCAGCAAAAGTCCGGTGTGTAAAGTCAATACGGCTCGACCTTTTTCTTTTGTTACGAAAAGGACATTTTGGCAACACGCATGCGGTCATTTTGAAACCTGAGTGGGGGGGCCGGGCCAATGTCATGTACGTAAAATAATATTAAAACAAATCAGTAGCCAAAGTAATGCTTTTCAGAGTCAAATCTCGCAAGACGAGAGCGACACACAAGCAGGCACTATACATGAATAACTAATTCGCCGGATCGGGCGCGAAAGGGCGCGAAAGCCCGGCCCCCCCCACTCAGTGTTATTTAGGGTACGCATATGCGTGTTCCAACCGACCCCCCCCCCCCCTTTTCAGCAAAAGTCCGGTGTGTAAAGTCAATACGGCTCGACCTTTTTCTTTTGTATACGAGCCTTTTTCCGCACCCCCCCCCCCCCTTTTCAGCAAAAGTCCGGTGTGTAAAGTCAATACGGCTCGACCTTTTTCTTTTGTTACGAAAAGGACATTTTGGCAACACGCATGCGGTCATTTCGAAACCTGCGTGGGGGGGCCGGGCGCGAAAGCTATTCAAAGTTTAAGCTCCCATTCACAAGTGTCAAGTGCTTCACCGGGGCGCGCCCCGGCGGGGTAATTTCGTAACAATGATACTCCAAACAATAGCCAGATTTTAATGAGCTGGGAACCAACTGAAGTCCTCTCGTATCCGACGCAAACAGGCGCAAATGGGCGCAAAAAGGCGCCTCCTTTGTTCTCATATCCTGCTCTGCGCCCCGACGCGTCGCGGCACAGTCGCAACTTTGGAAGGCTCCCCTTAAAAAGTAACATCAATAATCTACTACAGATTTTCTTTTTAAAACAATGATATCAAAATTTGAATGTAATCACATTTCTTGAGAAAATTGACGTACATGTCATATATTTCAATTATACTTCCCCAATAAACAAAATCACGTGAAAATCACGTCAATATCAAGGTATCGACTTGAGGAGAGTTACGTTCTTTAAACACCGGACATTTACGTAAATGTGTTAATACGTTTATTTCATTAGGTAACTTGAAACACACGTTCACTAAATCACGCAATTGTCACTGCAATATCACAATTATAATAACGTGATTATCCCTACCTTGGAGACCATGGTTTGTAAACCTAATACTCCCGTGTTTGTTTGGTTATGAAATTACATCTTCATAAACGAAATTATCGCGTCACAGAAACACGTGAAGCGTTAGTGATAGTTTTAGTCAAAATATCTGCGTGAAATTCACGTGAATATTACGAGGCTGATTTGAGATAAATCATGTTCTTCATTCACGTGAAATTTACGTCGAAGAGGAAGTATGTTACTGTAACCCGCGTTCAACCCAATAATTACGCAAATGTTACACAATAAATGAACCAAAATAATGACGTTCTCATCCCGTTTCTGAACATCGTGTCTTGGATCCAAGCGCGCCGGAAGCAGTTTGGGATAAGAGGGGGTTGGGTGGGGGGGGGGGGGGGTGCAAACATCCCAGAAGAGAAAGCTAGTTGCAACTGGTCCAGTTGATGAACCATTTAATGCCATATGGTAACCCTGGAAATTGAAATGGGCTAAATGATCCAGTTGATCCAGGCCAGTTATAATTCAACTGGTCTAGCTGAGCCATTAGAACCATTTGGTAAAACTTCCAACCAGTTGAACAGCAACAATACTTCAATACTGATACGTCTGTATTTCCAATGTAAGGGAATTGATAATAAGTAGACTTACATAATTGAATTAATCGAAAAATTTTCGTATACTTGTACTTTATTGAAACTATTTTAGTTCACAGTTAATGTTTCCCTTATTCATGTTTAACCATTTATACGAAGTAGCGAAATGTCCTAATAACTGGTAATTTATATTTGTAGTATTTTCGAAATGAATTGCATATAACTAAATCATCCGTAATTAAGAAATATGCTGTAAATTCAGATAAATTGTTTAAAAAACATAGATCTGCACGCACCCCATATTCAATATGCAAATGAATTGGTGTCAGCTGGGTCAACTCGAATAATGCCAACGCTCAGTCATCAACTGGTGCAACTGGAAATATGCACACTCCAGTTATCAACTGGTGCAATGAAAATATGCCAACAGTCAGTTATCAACTGGTGAAAATAGAAATATGCCAACAGTCACGGGATTATCACCACGGAACTTAAATGGTAACTGTGAAACCATCAAGACACCCAAGAATAACTCATGTTCACACATGGAAAACACGGAATACCCAGCTTATATTAATAATCCGTTTGAGTCACGCGATCATCACCGCGGAACTGCTGGCAACTTTGACTACGATTTAAATAGGTGTTTTAAGACACCTAATCATGACTAATTTTTCACACCTAAAAGTCACGTATGCCCATCTTAGATTAACAATCCGTTTGAGTCACGAGATCATCACCGCGAAACTTATGGCAACTTTGACTTCCATTTAAATAGGTGTTTTAAGACACCTTATAATGACTATTTGTTCACACCTAAAAGTCACGTATGCCCTGCTTAGATAAATATTCCGTTTGAGTCACGAGATCACCACCGCGGAAGTGCTGGCAACTTTGACTACCATTTAAATAGGTGTTTTAAGACACCTAATAATTACTAATTTTTCACACCTAAATATCACGGATTCACAGCTTAGATTATTAATCAGTTTTAACTACGTGATCATCACCAAGAAAGTTATGGTATCTTTGAAACCATTTAAATAGGTGTTTTAAGACACCTAATAATGACTAATTTTTCACACCTAAAAGTCACGTATGACCAGCTTAGATCAATAATCCGTTTGAGTCACGAGATCATCACCGCGGAACTTATGGCAACTTTGACTACCATTTAAAAAGGTGTTTTAAAACACTTAATAATTACTAATTTTCACACCTACATATCACGTTTTCACAGCTTAGATTAGTAATCAGCTTGAGCCACGTGATCATAACCAAGAAATTTATGGTAACTTTGAAACCTTTTAAAGAGGTGTGTAAGACACCTCAGAATTACTAGTTGAATATAACCAGAGATTCACGGACAGAACAATAAGACGATTAGCCGGTGTAAGTAACGTGATTATTACCATCAACCTTGGATAACCTGTGAAACCAATCAATAAAGGTGCTTACAAGACCAAATAATTACGTATTTATCGCCACCATCGGTTAACTGACAAAAAACTCGTTGCTTGGTCAAGTGGTTATTTGGTCATAAACACTTGATTTACAGAGGTAAGTGGAATCACGTTACTCCAGTCGCGTGATAAACTGGTGGTTTTTAGGTTAGATGAAAACGTGAACAGAAGTACCTTTTTTGTTTAAATGAAGGCACGTGTCGATAACGTTTAAATCTAGTTCAAAAGGCACTATACTTTAAAATCACTTAAAATACACTCCCAAAAGAGGTTACTTTTTGGTGTTCTGTTTATTGGGTCTTCATCTGCTGTATACTTCCATAGGAGGAGGGCCAAGCATCAAAATAAATCCGGTATACGAAGCGGTGCTGTCGGCCATAGCGCCGCAATCCAGGGAGGGCATCTCCAGCGGGGAGGAAGCTGGCTTCGGAAGCAGTGATGAGTCTGAGGTAATCATGAGCTATAAAGTAAATTTGTTTTGGGTCGATCTTGTGGATAACTTAATTAGGGCAATTGTTGAAATTGGTCACAATTACCTTCATTTATTTACTGTACCTCCACCATAAAAGTTTGAAGGGGGTTCTGAGTCGGTGAACGGTCTGGCAGTCAGTTAGTCAGTCAAACAATTTGTAGAGAGAATTACTTCCACAGTTTTGGGACAATTCAAATACAAATTTGTAAACAGAATAACTTTGAGGTGGAAATGTGCAATACATGTTATTTGTTGATACGGTAACCACGATTTTGCATATTCAAAAAGCGTTACCGCAAGGATATTTCTTTTGTAATTATTTTCAAAAATGTTTATTTAATTTGTATCAGAAAATGATCGGACGTTCGCTTGACTACTAAAAATTGAGGATTTTGATGATGAAAAGCATTCTGAGCACAATTGGTCGATGGGCATTATGGATAATTCGTTTCCTCAACTGACTTGTGTTTAATTTTGTTATATTATTCTAAGTATATGAAATAAGAAAATGAAACTTGTCTCTTTTAAATGATCTACCGGTATGTTGGCTCGGTCAGTAAAGCGTCCGCCTCACTTCGGGAGGTTTGGGTACAAATCAATCAATTGGGCAAACAAGAATTTTCATTTTCAGTTTAACTTAATAAAACTTGGAGTGGACTTTAAAAGATTATTATTATTATTGGTGTCAAAATAATTCCTAGAGGAAATGTAACTTTCTTTGTTATGCCTCTGCTACTATGTTTTAGGGTTGTTCGTCTGTCTGTCTGTACATCCCGTTCTCGGATCGCGTTATCTCAAGAACCAATTAATGGATTTCAGCCAAACTTAAGTCATGTATGTATCTTGCAGAGTCAATGAACCAAGTAGATTTTGGGGTCAAAGGTCACAGGGCTCGTTATGCTTCTGTTTTGGTTTGTATAATTGCTCTATATGGTGGAGGCATCATTTCCGATTGCAAGCAGTCGAAGATCCATCTAGTTTAATAGCTGATTTTATTCTTTCCTATTTTTCATATCACAGTGCAGTGAAAGTGGAGTAGCTGTGTCTTTGCTTAAAGGGATGATGGAGCCTGCAGCTGACATCGGTTCACCTTCACCAACGACAGCTACAACACCAGCACCAACGACAGCTACAACACCAGCACCAACGACAACTACAACACCAGCACCAACGACAGCTACAACACCAGCACCAACGACAGCTACGAAACCAGCACCAACGACAGCTGCGAAACCAGCACCAACGACAGCTACAACACCAGCATCTACATCAACAACTCCAGCAGCAATATCCACAACATCACGTAGGGCGCAGTCAGCTCGATCTTCGGTAACACCGGTGTCGCAGACTGCAAGTCTTCTGGCTACACAGCTGGAAGTTGACCGTGAGCGACTACATGTTGAGCAGGAGAACCTGTCGCTCAGAATGAAAGAATTCTCCTTGCAAAAAGAGCGTATGCTAATGAAAAAAGAAAAAATGGAAATAATGAAGGAGATGCTTATCATCCTTCGTAAAATTTCAAAAAATGAGGCATAATTTTAGGTTGTTAATAGACCCTCAAATTTGTTTTGGAATAATGATATACGCAGTTAATTCACATTTTTTAATCTTCATCAATATCTTCAAAGTAATTTTTTTTCTCCAGGTTCCTTTAAGGCTTTAATGTTAAATGATAAATGGTATCCTCTCAACAAGTAGTCGCTCACGTTCCATTTCAAGCTGTGTAGCCTGAAGACTTGCAGTCTCCAATGCTGGTGTTATTGAAGATCTTGCTGTGTCCTATGTGATGCTTTTTTCAATCTGATATTATATCTATATTATTCACATTTTTTAATCTTCATCAATATCTTCAAAGTAATTTTTTTCTCCAGTTTCATTTAAAGATACTATGTCCCTTTTGCAGCCAACCTCAAATTCTGTAAAACTTTGCAGGAATTACGAAATTGTCATGTATGTCCTATCTATGAAATTTAAACGTTAGCAGTGTCCTTATATTCAAATTACTTGCTAGACTTCACTTTCAGACACTATTGTCAGTATTGAGTGACTGACTGGCTTTTTCTTTTTCATTAGTAATAACATACATAAAATGAGCCGCAAAGGATTTGTCTACATCAGTAACCCACTTCTTGTAATAGTCAAAGTTAAACTGATTGAATGTTTGCGCAGTATAAAACGTACGACCATGCGGTACAATGGTCTGAAAATCAAGACTATTACTTATTCGATTTGACAACTAAAAGTCATTATTTTCCAACTTAAAGACAATTTCAAGCCCCATTTTTTTCTTCTAAATTAGTATTATTCCCTTGAACATCATTTAAGTGACTTTTACAACCATTTTTTTTGCTCCCAAAACTTTAGAGGGGCTTTGAAGGGATTTGGGAACATTGTTCAGATGTAGGAAAAGTGCTTTGAAGGTACAGTAGTATTCATTCACAACTTTCTTGTTAAGAATAACGCATATTTTTGCAAACTCAATTGTGCTTTAACTGCTATTTTATTGTGAATTGCTATGCAATTCAATTTGTACACAACAGTTACCTTCTTCTCGTCATGACCAAAATCAAACTGATTCAGTCTTTACTCCGGAGATACTCTCTCATCATGCACTATTTAAACAGTGCGTGTTCGTGGTCAAATCAGTATTGCATAAACATACTTGCTGTGCATACTAAACATAATTACGTCCTTGTCCTTTATTCATAGACTTCAAATTTGTTTAAATGAGATATTGAAGTATACTGCTAGCTGATAGAAATAATCTTTGGAAACCAATGTACCGTCCATCCAAATAATTCTTGACTGATGAGATTGGGTTGAAGGGGGGGGGGGGGGGGGGGTAGTGGTAATGACAGAGTCCTTGATCATCATCCCTCATTTCAGAAATCACCACTTGTACAGCTCATCATCTGGATGAAATATTTAATAAGTAGAAAAATTGATGTTAGAAATATGTAATATATAAAGTTGTACATACATGTAAGTATTTATTTGTTTCAAATTATATTATATTAATATATTTAATATATACCAGGTAATAGTTCCACTATTGTATTGTATTGGAATGTGAAAGATTTTGTTTCATTAAAGTTTATTACCAGTAATAAATTATATTCATGAATTTACCTATGTGTTTATTGGTCATCAAATTTGCTTCTATTATTTTTCATGTTACAAAAGTAATAGGTCACATATACAAATAAGATAATAAAATATATAAAGAATATTTGTTATTATTTAATTACAGAAATGTTTGGTAAAAGAAAATGGGAACAATTTTTGTTAAAGTTACATACTAGACCGCGAAGTACTGGATAATCTCTGCCCGGGCTGCAACTCCAGAGACTTCATCTTGTGCAGCTGCGTGTACCTCTTCATATCCGTCCTCGCCCTCTTCGTCCTCTCCCTTTTCGTCCTCTCCCTCTTCGTGTTCCATGTCGGGACCCCCACAGTCCTTGCTGAGGTTGTAGAGGATGCAGCAGGACAGGATGATTTTGACAGCATGCCTTGGCTTCCGTTGCAGTCCATGTCCAAGCAAGCACCGGAACTTTTGTTTCAGTTGACCGTTGACCTGCTCAATGTGAACTCTTGTTCGGATATGTGCACTGTTGAGACATGAAAATTCACCCATGAATACAATGGTTTTTTCTTCCTTTTATCCAATATTCACAATATCATACTTGTTAATAACCTTACAAACAGTCTCTCTCAAAATCATGTATGAATAATTGTCATTGCGATTACCAAAGCTGATGAGTAAACAATTTTGAATATATATTTAATGTATATTTCAGAAATAAATGGACAGTGAAATATCGACTAAAAAAAATTTAAAAATACGCTGAATAAAGAATGCATCATACAAAATTAAATGTTGCATTACTTGTTGTAAGCTTTCTCAGCTTGGCTTTGGGGATTCTGCAAGGGGGTCATCAGCCATTGTCTTGAGGGATACCCAGAATCACCGAGCAATATCCCTTTCAGCTGTCCTACATGGTACTTCCTTGCCAACTTGCTGTTCTGTATCAAAGAAAAGAAACATTCATTTTTCCCTCTGAATTACTTGTTTTCATTTAAAATAAAGATCATTCTTTTCTCTCATTTCCATCTCTGCTCGAGTCTCTATAAAAGTTCAAGAAATATCATTTAATTTTTTCTAAAAAGTATACCTGCAAGATCCTGCTGTCATGTGTGGATCCTGGCCATTTCACTACAGCATTCGAGATTCTGTAGTCTGGTGTGCACACCAGTTGGACATTCATCGAGTACCTCCCATTTCTGTTCATGAATATATGTTCGTCATCGCCAAGGCGTGCCCCGTGGAGACCGATTTGGGTCCCATCGATGCATCTGTATAGTTTGAAAGAAGAATGTGAAAATAAATACACTAAATCACAAACCAATGGTGGAAATCTAGAGTTTTCAGAAATCTAGCTTTTGGGATATTACTTTTGGCCTAACTTTACTTTATTAGAAGAAGAAGGAAAAAAAATGGCTTTCATCCAACTCTTCTCTCTATATGGGTGAAACATAACTGATTTTAAGAATTAATACAGGAGACGGAAAAGGGTTAATTAATCCCAAAACGTGAAAGGTTCATGCACCATTCCAGCTACTTAACACTTAAATGGAATTGAATGGATTTTTATATACTCACCCAACTACTCTTGGAAACCCAGCAATAGCCTGGAATGCTGCTTGAGTACGCTCAACATCAGCTTGACTCTGAGGGAATTTGATCACCTTCAAGACAAGAAAAGAGTGTTCATAATAACCAATAATAAGAATGAAAACCATCTTAAAATGAGGTATATAAAGTATACTATAGGCCTAATTAAAAACTTTACAGGTTCACATAATCATGCATTTCAATTACATTTGGTAATTGGTATAATATAAATTGTGATGGAAATACTTTTCAATCCCTTGTTTAATATGGAAAGGGACAGTGCACAAACAAGCTTCTTTTTTTTGTACTGGGTGGATATATTGGTATGATAAAGACATTTTTGTTTGTTTTGTTTTTTTTTTTTTTTTTTTTTTTTTTTTTTTTTTTTTTTTGGGGGGGGGGGGGGGGTGGGGTTAATAACTATTTGCCACCTACCCACCCCCCCAACACATATTTGAATGAAATATGCATGTAAGATATTTTCAATTTAATCCTCATATTTAGGTAGTGCAATGTTGCAATATGTACTTGATTCAACAGAATTTTAAGACCCCTTCAATAAAGGGAGTGGGGTGTGATTTCACTTTGATGAAAAAATTAATCCAACAATTAGCAACAACAACAAAAACAAACACCATCACCTAGGTTTCCACTTTGTTTTTCTTCACTTTGATTTATTTTTTGAATTTCAATTCCAAATTCAAAGACCTCGATCAAGCCCTTTGGACGCGTGCCTGATTTGTTCCCATTAGAACTCAAACTCAGTACAAGGTGAGAGAGAGAGAGAGAGATTAAAAAAGAAAGAGAGAGAGAGAGGTGGGGAGTGCTATAGTGGAGCTAGATTGGCATGGCGGGATCGGAAAGAGAAGGAGAGATCGAGCGACGCGACGCGACGTAGGTAAGCTAGCTAGCTGCCCCTGTCTTAATTATCCATGACAAAGCCTAAGTTTGCCTGAAGTTTTAATTTATAGCAATGGTTTCATTAGAGCCGCTCCCATGCCAGTCCTCTAGCCGGGCAGCTCGCAGGGCCTGGAGCGCCGAGCAGGCATGAAGCGCAGCTCGCTCGCTCATCGTCGATCGTCTGTCTGTGTAATTCATTAGTCTAATCTTTATGTTTTGGGGAGAATTTTCATATAACCAGACAACAGGCTACAATCCTAGATGAATGCCTATAGTTATAGCCTAGCTAGGTTTGTCTAGATTTGAGTGTGTAGGCCTAGATCTGACCAAGGCTAGACTCGACTAGACTCTGGTTGGTAGTTGTACTTTTTGAGTGCATGCATGTTGCCATGACGACTGTGCTATACTGGTTTAATGTGTATTGGCAGTGTCAAACAATATACCTCTAGGCTAGTCTAGGCCTATACCAAAGAGTCTCAAATGCAGAGGTTGTTTAAAAATGAGTTCAAAAAGTATTATTACCTTGCTCTTCAGAGTGATGCAGATGGCTCTGGATACTTTGTTGATTGTTGCGGATGCAGTTGCCCTGCTGATTACGTGGACAGTACTGGGAGAATCCAGTACTGCCCCTGTGGCGTAAAAGTTAAGTGCCACACATAACTGCTGCAAAACAGATAAGCTGCAATTCCTTGCTGTCGGATGGCTCAATGCAGGGGCAAGTTGATCCACGAGACGGAGTAGACCCGCCCTAGTGAACCTGTACTTCCTCCAGAGTTCGTCGTCAGGCCTATCCAGAGGGTCTACTCTGTCTCGGAAGACGCGTTCCCTCTGTAAGTGCCTAGCGGCCTCTTCCTGCATGACTAACAGTATGGCTGCCATCTTGATTGTCTGACTTACCACTTGATAAAAATCCAGCGGAAAGTTACAATGAATTATTAAAGATCCGCCGGATTTTCCGCTTGATATCAAGCGGAACTTTCTTTATAATACGCGTTATCAAACTTCCGCTTGATTTAAAAAGATCCGCTGGATTTTTTAAAGATCCGCTGGATTTGTTAAAGTTCCGCTTGATTTATTAAACTTACGCTTGATCATGAATCTTTATAATACGGGTTATCAAACTTCCGCTTGATTTAAAGAGATCCGCTGGATAAATCCAACTTACGCTGGATTTATCCAACTTACGCTTGATTGTAAATCTTTATAATACGCGGCCCTAGTGTAATAAACGTATTAACACATTTACGTAAATGTCAGGTGTTTTAAGAACGTAACTCTCTTCAAGTCGATACCTTGATATTGACGTGATTTTGACGTGATTTTGTTTATTGGGGTATCATTTACAGCTCATTTTATGTATTTTATTATCGAAAGTAAACGTGTATACTAGCATGCTTTGAATAATAGGACACTGCTATCGTTTAAACTACCCATATAGTACATACGTCACAAATATATATACTACCGCAAAGTTCTACATAATTTGATGTTGGCTGCAAAAGGAATCCACTACCTTTTAGTGTTTTTTTTTTTTTTATTTGTTTAATCATTAGGCCTACTGAATAACATAAATATATAAAGTAGAAATTGTGCGAATGGGGAATATTAAAACTCCTTTGTTGATATTAGCGGGTAGGAAAATTACCCCTGACATGACAACGGAAAAGGTATTTCAACCATTCCCTCAAACATTGTGGTACAAATATTATCTCCAAGGCTAAGTGTAAATGTTTTCGTGACATTTTGTCTAACCTGACAATCCAATGGAAGGAATGAAGCCGCTTTGTGCAAGCTTGAACTAGTAGGCCTACTTTCCCTTGTCATCCAAAAACGTTCGTCGTTTGATCAGCGTCAAGAAGATCATCTACGTTGTATTCATGTACTTTTGGAAAGGGGGCACGTTATTTCGACAAATTTTTCAAATCGTATTCTATTCTTTCTTTTGGTCACAATGGGAAGTCCACCCTGACATTGATTTGGTTTAATTAGAAACAGAACGTTGAGATGAACATTTCAGTGAAAAATTGAGCAGAAACCAATTAAAAATAAGAAAGTTGTTCATTTGTTAACGTTCAATTAATCAAACACAGATTGGAAATTATGTGACGTACCCCTTTTTAAACAAATTGTTTTAACTTATGAAAACTTTGATCATTCATAAACTTCCAATATTTAATCGGATTTAGATCAAACTGTCATTATTGTTTTCATATTAATTTTTCTGATTTATTGAAACCAACCTAATATGAGGGTGGACTTCCCTTTCAGTAAAATTGGGGCATATCACCGAAGTACAATCTTGATATTTTTTGTTTGGTCAAAATGGACTAAGATGATAGCATTTTAAAATTGGTAATTGAAATCACTATACCAAAACACAAATAAGCATGAAGTTATGTAAGATGTAATGATATGTTTAACAATAATACGCTTATCGGCACTAGCGATTAGGAGATAATTCTTACCTGGCTTGAGACGTAGATACTTCACCGGCTGCTGCTGATTCATCTTGAGGAAGAATGTCGACTGATGTGGATCCTGACTGTCTCGAGGATGCAGAATCTGCTTTTCCCGGTGATGTCTTGGTTATTTCTAATTTAAGAGTGGAGAATTATGTTATCTTTGCAAACTTTGTATTCGTTATGTTCATGTTATTGGCTGTATAATCCTGTTGCATTATAGTTTGAATTACGATTAAATTAGACAATTCAAAAAATGTCATTGATTAAAGTTGTTGCCTCGTTTATTTTTAAATTTGCTAACGATCAACATGCAATTCGTGTTAGTGAGATTTAGTACAAATTTGTAAAATTTGGATTGATTATTCTATGCAAAGTCCTTACATCTTAATTGAAATGATAGCTGAGCTCTGTTGCACAGGACGCTACACCCAATACAAAAATGGAGATTATTTGAAACAACATACAATCTAAATGACAAAATCATTTTAGTTTGATCGAAATGGGTTAAGAGACGGCTGAAATATCAAAAAATATAACCATTTCTAAAATGTGTGTACCACCACACATACTAGATAACTTGATCCATGCAGCCGTTGAAAGAACAACATAGCGCCTAATACGTTGTATTCCAGCCAGTGCCGAATATTGGCTTTTGTTGGTTTGTTCGTGTTGGCTATAATACGCAAGACCAGCTGGCCCATGTATTGTTTTTATTAATGAATTAATTAACTAACGGTCACTGTATTTTGTTTAAAGTAGAGCTGGATTGGTGTGATCGTATAGGTTTAATCAGTTTCACACATTTTGAGGTCTAAAATTGCCTTCATAGTATTTTTAGGTCCTAAAAGCGCACTAGAAATGTTATAAATAGGAATAAAAGCAATGGCCATGCTCTTCGAAGACATTTGCGGTCTGAAACAAGAACTCAAATACCATGTTAAGCTTCTTTCTTAACATGGAGGGGGGGGGGGGGGGTAAGACAAAATAGAGACTAAACAAACAGGACAAAGTTAACTACAATAGGTGAATTTTTCACCATAAATGTAATGTCTGCCCATGAAACGTACTCCTTTAAAAGAAAAAAAAAATTCCAGCTTGGTTTAAAGTTCGATTGATAGGACAATAAAATCAATTTTTTTCACCAATATATGCAGTCTCAGTGTCAGTTGGTTTAGATAAAACACACAATTTAGAACCGAAGACAAGATTCCCGTTTTCATGCATCTCATCCGTCAGTGACAACGAACAATTTTATATTCTATTTTAGGAGGTAACCATAGAAACAAAACGTTATCGCATTTCATCATATCCAGTAACAAGGTTTACTTAAAATTGTTATCAAATACAAAAATAATAATTTAGAATGGTAATGTAGTTACAGTTCCGGTCTATAGTCGAAGCGAGAAACAAATTATCCTTTACTAAAAATCAAGCAAAACAAATAATCGAAATTATTTCAAAACCCACCACGAGAAGGAAGGAAATGTGTTCTGAATTGCATAACCATCTGAAGATTTGATTGTATCACACTCAGCTTCACCGGCAGGTCATCTGCTTTCCCATTAAAATCCAACTCGAAGTAGACAGTATGCCTGTTAGCCTTTCTGAGGACACTTGCATCGACATGCTGATATAATGGATATAATTAAGCGTTAAAGATGAAAACTCAAGAATCGTTTTATTACATATCGATTGAAAGTTTCATTTCATTTCATTTCATTTCATTTCATTTCATTTATTTGTTTTTGATATATGACTCGTAATCCTATGGTGGCCCTGAAGGGACATCGCGAATAGACTAAATCACGAAAAATTGGCGATAAAATTCACGATATCGTCAATTTTATCGCCAATTGTTCACGACGAAATTCACGATATCGTGAACTTTATCGTGAAAAGTTCACGATAAAGTTCACGATAAAATTGACGATATCGTATATTTTATCGTGTACTCTATCGTGTACTCTATCGTGTACTCTCCTGGCGGGCACTTCGTAAACAAAACCAGCCCTAGCTTGATTGAAGACGATTATTATGACGAGACATTTTTACGATGATTTCTTTGAAAATGGTAGGTTTAACTTCATATTATGCTCTAGATCTATTTGTATTTTATGTTTGACAAGATAGGGATAAAAGTAATTGCACAGCGGAAAAATTACTCGGTAGACTGTGCAATTAATGGTCTAGATGCACTCAATGCATTTTCCCATACATTCATTTCCATGTTGTAATATCTATTGAGTAATGTAATTGATTTAGATGATAGATCTAGGCCTACTTTTATTAGTAGGCCTACGTACTAGTACACTCAATTTCTCAAACTGAGTCAACAAAGACTGACAGAGTCGATGTAGAACTAATACTAACTAATAGGTAGCAGCGGCTAGCAGAATATTACTAGTAGTAGCATTCTAGTGCACTAGCTGCATGCAGCTGCAGACCTAGTACCTGTAGGATAGATCTATAGGCTATAGAATAATGCATGATTGTATGAATACACCAGTTTACGGTTGTGTGCGCCATTTTAATCAAAGCCAATGGCCTAGAGGTCATGTATTTATGCGTAAATTAAGATTGCGCATATACAAATTATGATGACATACTGCCTACGCGCTGCGTTGTGCGCGCACATCATCATTTGCATGGGCGCAATCTTAATTTACGCATAAATACCACTGACCTCGGGTCATTGGCTTTGTTTCAAAGCCAATGACCCGAGGTCAACTGCCTGCGCATGCGCACTGATACAACCGTAAATTGGTGTATTGTATTGAAGATGATTTAGTTGTAAGCTCTATGGCTCCAGTGATTATTGCATTAGCAGACATTTTATTTTTAATATTTTTTTCAATGCTTGCAACAACATGAATTAGTAATTAAGCTAGGGCATAGCCAAGGTCACTCAAGTAAAGCATAGTAGTAGACAATGCTAATGCGTATTGACCTCTATAGCGCTGCATACGTGCTGAGAGATTACCAGACAACTCGCCACAAAGACAACCCGCCCCAAGACAACCCGCCACAATACCCTGGACATCTCGCCACAATACCCTGGACAGCTCGCCACAGGCGAGTTGTACAAGGTGGGGTGCCTTTTCGGACAACTCGCCACACTTTTTTCCCTTCATGATTTCTAGATCTAGATCTTTTTGGTTACTAAATAGTAATCAATAATGCTGATTTTTTTTTTAGGAAGGGGGGGGGGAGTGGAAATTCGTTTTGACTCCCCCCCCCCCCCCACACACACACACACACGTACTTTTTTGTTGGGAGGAGGGCGAGTCCCCTGCCCCCACTTCTGGCGCCTATGATTGCAAGAATTGCTGGATTTCTTTAAAAAAAGGGCACCTGCAAAGGGACACATCAACAATAATAAAAACATTTTTAGATATTTGTCTATAGGCTTACACCTTC